CCTCCTCCCAAGGTCCTTGCGTCTCGGCGAGCATAATCTTTTTTCCTCTAGTTAGGGGAAAACTCAGGCGAAAGTACGTGTGTTCATAGAATATCTCAAAATAACGCAAAAGTCGAACGGGTTTTGCAATTATTTATTCACGAACACCTCTTTACAGGGGTGCAAAACGTTCCAAAATGCAAACCATTGCTCGCGATTCGGCTTTATTTCCTCGAAGCCGGATTGCCGATTTCCCTCACCGTTGAATTTTTTATTTTACGGCAAAGTGTGTAATTTGCCTCTCTTATTAAAATCATGAGAGATAGACAGAGAAAAAATCTCTTTGGGAAATCGTCGCACGAACCAAGATTGCCTCACATTTGCCGCGTCTGTGGATCGCGAGATCGGGCAGTTACCTACACAGGGTGATTCCAAAGTCCCGCACCACTCGTGTAACCCCTAGGGTTCTGGAACTTTTTCAGTGTGATCCCTCTAAAATTTCGGTGGGCCCCGAAAGTCGTCTCCTTTGACCTAGGAGCAGTCACAAAATTTCAAGTCTCCATCTCAATTCGTGCTAAGTAAAGTTACAAGAATGATGCCGAGTGCTGACGGAACATTTGGATCATCCTGTATACCATTTGCACTCGCTGCGGCTCCATACCCGCTCTAAACATTTTTGGCGCCGCGTTGGCAAGTACTTCGGGCGCAGGCTGCATTCTGACATCCCTCTCCTACTAAAATATTAATCCATTCTATCGAAGATTGAATTCGTATCGTATTTATTGTACTCGTATGTGCATTGCTATTGTAGAAAGAGCGTTATTGTATTAAACTAACAGAAGTATTCGCTTGTACGTGGAAAGGACGGCCGACCTAACTCGGGACGACCTCTAAAACTTTATCTGAGGTCACTTTGAGCATGTCAAACGCCCGCCTGCATAATGCCCAACTATCTATCTAAAAAATACTGGTTTTGCGTGCTCGCGTAAATCCAACCTGGCAGATTGATTGAGGTGACTCCACGCTATTTACATTTAGCAGGGGAGGGGAGCGTCCATAGCGTCATTCGACGGCTTCTCTAAATCTAAATGACTTAAGAGGAGACCATTGATGTGTTTTTTTTTTATTTATATAAGTGAAAAAATTTGAGGTAGATCCCTCAAAAAATGCTACGATGCGTCCAAATTAATTATAATCATTGCAAAAAAGAGAAAAAATGAAAAAGAAAAAAAAAAAAAAAAAAAAAAAAAAAGTCTTTCAGAAGCTCAAAAAGGCGCCCGTCCAAAAAATGGTACTTTGGCCCAAGTAGTGTCGGTTCTCACTGGAAATCATCACAGTGCAAACATTTTGTCCGTTTGTCCGTATCTACATATAGCCGGAAAGCGGAAACCGCCCTCTGGTGCCCCCCTTAGACCCCCTAGACGGCGTGGTGAACTTCAGCCGAAAATTTCGGCTCCCTTGCCGCATCTCTGAGGGTTTGTCTCTGAAATACCATTTTGGGAGAAGAGGTATTTGCTTACAGAGTAAATCTACGGATTTGGCTCCTCCTAGCACTGCTCATCCGATTTTGCTGGCTGTTCTTGAAGCTTCGGCTCCGGATTTAGGGTGTTGGGGGCCTTGGGGCGAACTTTTGGTGGAACCCCCCCCCCCCCCCCNGGCAAAGCTAAATCATTTTCTAGGGAGGCCTAGCCTTGATTTAAAAATAATTCACAACCCTGACACTTCTCACTGAGCAGTGGAAGGGTACTGAATACTCCAGGGCATTGTGGAGGGGGGGGGGGAGGCCTGGAAAAATTCTGGAAGTGGAAATTGCCTCTATTTTAGATGCATTTTAAAGCCACCAAGACGCAATTTTTTTGATATTGTGCATCTTGATGCTGAATTTTAGTCTGAGGTCCTCTATGGAACTTGTAAGTGAAATGAAAGAAAAATTATTATTTATGTGGGCAACCCTTTCAGAGTTCTTAGGTACTTATCACTGTAATAATAAGGAAACAAATTATCTTGTGGTGGGGGTCCTGATGCGATTGCCTCAGTCGTGCTCTCTCCAAATCAAGCACTGTGAAGCAATGTACTTCCTTCTTTCCAAACAAATTACTGAAGAGTTGCACAATTGCATTGCCATTGTTGTTGTTGGTGTTGTTCTTGAACTAATTTTTGTCCATTTTTTCATGGCCTCATTTTCTTTCTCTGTGCAGGTGGTATTACTGGCGGTATTGAAATTTGTATCACTTACCCAACAGAATACGTCAAAACGCAGTTACAATTAGATGAAAAAGCAGGAGCAAAGAAATACAATGGAATTGGAGACTGCATAGCCAAGACTGTCAAAAGCAACGGAATTTTTGGCCTCTATAGAGGTTTAAGTGTTCTTCTAGTCGGTTCGATACCGAAATCTGCTGTAAGGTAGGTGTAATTCATGAAACAGAAAACCAAAGAATTTTGATGAATATGGATGGTGATACCACCAGGCCACTTAGCTCGGTTCACTACATTGCAGACCTCCTGTCGTACTTTATATTTTGAATGGAAAACTTCTCAACATCAAGCCTTGAAAACTTCAGTGATTTTTCATCTCTGTGTGAAGAAAACTTTGCGAAAACGGTGTTTCAAAATCTGTTCGAAGTTGAATTTTTAAGCTTAGTTGTTTGCTTTTCAAAATTGTAAGTGTTCTGTTAATTCAAAATTCACAACATCCAATAATCAGGCTTCCCATCCCTGTACCTCTTTAACTGTGATTACACTCACAACAATGCTACTTTTAAGTCTTTTATCAAAATTTTAATTCTTCCTTCCTTCTTTCTTTTGCATACAGGTTTGGTTCCTTTGAAATGTTCAAGAACAAAGCGGTAGACGAAAAAGGCAATTTGAGTGCCCAATCGAGAGTTTTATGTGGACTTGGTGCAGGTGTTTGTGAAGCCATCTTTGCTGTCACCCCAATGGAGACTGTGAAGGTGAAATTTATCAATGATCAACGTTCAGCCAATCCTCAATATAAAGGCTTCCTCCATGGTGTTGGCCACATAGTGCGTACTCAAGGTAACACCTCCTTACCAATCTCAAAGGATAATCTTTGTGCTAAGATCTTTTGACAAACTTGTCATTGTATCATTTCTTTTCAGTCTTGTTAGTGAAAAAATTCCTTTATCATAATTAGAAATTGTGTGCAGTCTCTAAATAAAATACTTACAAGTCTGTGTCTGATACAAATACAGAGGTAGATCGACTTAAAGTGTGATTGCCTTAAATCCTTCAAGTAGAAATTTGAAGATTTGATTTTGATTTTACCCTAGACGATTTTTAAACAAATCCTATACGTTTTGAAGGAAAAAATTGAATCCTTGGCTTTGAATGCAGTTTCTATGTAAAATAGAGAAACAATCTTGATAAAGCAAGTGTTGAGCATAAAAAAGGAAAGACTTTTGTGAGGACAATGTTGAATAGCAGCGTAAGTAGAGCTCCTGAATTTTAGCAATAAGGTTTTCACCCTCGGACTGATAGGAGGCCTAGTAAGATAGATCATGTTAGTTTAGGTCAGAAAGTGTATATCAAACCACCAAAGATCAATTTCAGGTTCATTCAGGGAATGTACAGGAAGATTCAAATTAAATGTTAACTGGGTAGGTAGTCTAAATGACAGACATAGTGGTCATCTGAAACTTATGAACCAATTTTTAAATCCCATTCTTAGAAGCAAGTGACACGCTTGTTTGATTTTTCTTTATTTTGGACTGTAAATGCATCAAATTGATATTAATCACCATTTGCAGGTTTCAGTGGAGTCTATCAGGGTTTGACCGCAACTATCCTGAAACAGGGAAGCAACCAAGCTATTCGATTCTACACAATGGAAACTCTGAAAAATTGGTACCGAAAAGGAGATCCGAAAGCCCCTGTACCTACTGTCGTTGTAGGTTTCTTTGGAGTAGTTGCAGGTGCTGCATCAGTTTTTGGAAACACACCTTTGGATGTCATTAAAACGAGAATGCAAGGTTTAGAGGCCTCCAAGTACAAGAACACTTTCGACTGTTTTGTGCAAACTTGGAAAAATGAGGGGCCTACAGCGTAAGTTTTCTCTTTTTTTTAAACTTAATTTGAATCAGTCTCCTTTCTATTTTTAGAAAAGTTCATGGTTCCTTCGTGGTTGTTTAGGTCACTTGAGGAGAGTGATATATCAGGAATTTAAAATGTATAAGTGTAAACTGGAGCGATTCAAGGCATTGAGAATTCATGACAGTTTGGTTGTTTCAAAAAGTGATCTGTTTTCTTTTCTCGTGCCACAAAGTTGTCTTGAGAGTCTATCACAATCATCAAGGTAAAATTGCAACAAGTACTCAAACTAAAGGCAATCAGGAGCTACTGAATAGGCTTGATTCAAAATAATTCATAAATAACATGGAAGTAAAGACTGGCCATTGAACTTGTAAGGTAAATCAGATTTGTATATTTGGTTGCTTTTGACTCATTATCCTTATTTTTAATGTAATGTATATATTTGTTTTGGAGGTCAATTTCTATGAACGGCTTTTGAATTCACTGATGAGCACATCAAAAGTAACCTAAGAAAGTATTTTAGGAAAGAGATCAAATTTAAGGTACAGATAAAGCGTTTTATACTCTTTTTTTTGTTAGAGTATTTTACCTAAGTATGGTTGATTTTTAAAAATTAAAATAATGTGTTAATTAATTTTTCCCTCTGTCAATAGGTTTTACAAAGGGACAGTTCCTCGTTTGAGCCGCGTTTGCCTTGATGTTGCCATCACCTTCATGATCTATGATGCATTTATGGAATTTTTCAACAAAGTTTGGCCTTAATGTTCTGTACCTACTTATCAATCTCACAGAGTTCATGTCAGGTATATTTTTTTAGTAAATCTATACAATTCTGCCTTTTTGAAGTTTTGATAAACTTACCGTTTAAACTGTTAATTTTTTGTCAATAATTCAACTGGAGACAAGAACTTTTTGTTAAAATTTTTTGCAAGCACTTTTGCTAGACAATGAATTAGTTTTAGCACCAACTGTTTAACAAGAAGTCAATTGTTTTGTTTTTGATGTAAACTCTGCTTTTACTTGCTTTTTAAGAGGAATGCTTTTTCGTGAAAGCTGTGCAGGAAAATTTATTTTCTTGTTTAACAAGAAGTACCTCATCCTAATGTTACGAGGTACTGTTCTTCAAAATTTCCTTAAGCATATACTTTTGAAAAACAGCCTGTAAGCAAGACTCTGTCCATTTATATTGCTAATTGTGTCGTCGGAAAGCAGAAGGCACCAAGAACAGTGTGATTCGACACTAGTTTAATTGGAAAATTTGTTTACAAAGTGCTATTCCAGATTTTCTGAGTACAATACCGTCTAAAAATTATTTTCATACGACATTATTCAAGAAATTTTCTATGAAAGTTCCCTCCGCCTGAATATATTCATTTTTTTAATATTTTTAATCAGAAAATATTTATCTTGTCTAGATAATAACACAAACAATATCATCATTCCAGCAAAAATAGTTCATTTTCCCCAACATTCCACTGATTGTAAGAAATATTACTGACTGGTTTATTTTCCCTCATAATTGTAAGATTGAAATTTTCTCAGGTAGAGAAAAAAAGTTCTTGGGTTGGACATGAAGATTATTTATTTTAAGTATTACTCTTTTGTCAGATGATTTTTGGCATTTGCCCACTGCCGTTGTTATCTCTCTGGGTGAGGGTATAATTTATTTATTCATTTTATTTCTCTTGCCATTCATACATAAAAACCCTAATTTGTACGATACTTTCATAGAAAAGTGTTGGTATGAATCAACACCAAGAGATTTTTAAAGTAATGAAAAATAAGAAATCACCAAGAGAGAAACCCAGCATTTATATCATGTTTCGAGATTCTGTGGTATTTGCATGAAAGTGCCATTCATTTTCTTGACTTGAATATCCAATTCACCCTGAAAAATTGTTTCAATGGATTATTCTCTTTTAAATTGGGTTATTACAGTTATGCCACTTATATGCAGTTTGTTAGACGCAGCCCTTTTTTATGAGAGCGGGTATCAGTCATTGGTAAGGGATCAAGTTCTTCTCTGTTCAATTCGTCTTGTTAGAAAATCGGCCACTGTAGCCATGAATATTATTTTTAGGAATTTTTTCATGCATTTTGTATTCTCTCGAAATCTTTCCCCCCAATTATTTTTCCAAATCAAATTATTTTTTATTTGTTTTTCTATTTTTGTTTTTTTATTCTTTTTCTTGATTTTATACATTGTTTTTTTTTCTCTTTCTTTTATTATCATGTTGTAAAATCTTTGTTTTGGTTAAGTGTTAAAGTATCATTGTTGTTTGCTGTTGTAATTGCTGTTAATAAGTTCGTGCTTTTCATTACTATTGATTAAATTTATAAACTAGATCTTTATACTACCATCTAATGTAGAAAAGTTGTACCTGGTTTGTCACTAAAAACATCTCTCAGCAATTGGAACAATTTTTAGAGAAAGGCAAAACAGTATTTGCTTTGTTCCTGAAATATGATTGAAAATACCTTACTTATAGCTGAGAGGAACATGAATACAATTTCTGGGAATACTCCTCAACAACTGGCAAGTACCTAATTAACTGAATTGTCAGAGGAAAATTAGAAACAGAGAATTGGATTTATGTCTCTTCTCAAGCAAATCACCTCCGTGGCGAAACTAAGGAAGCGAAATTTGCCGATGTAAAGAAAATCTGTCAGCCTTCTCAGAAAATTGTCTTTCGATATGAAAGAGTAATCATTTTTTAAAGGAGGAGACGATGTTGTAATGCAAGCACATAAAACTCTCATGCTGAGGACACCAGTATAGCTGAATGGTAGCCAAGACTGAATTTTTGTGTTGAAAGATACTTACTCCTCTCAACTTTTTAATTATTACGTACATAATTTACTCTCATGCACACTCGAAGTTTTACTCAACATTCCAGTTTATGTTTGGCATTATTTTTACCGTTAAAAAAAATGTGGCACTAGCTGTCAAGAATTCCCCCCTTTTAGTATTTTTTTTCATGATCTTATGTTAGTTGACATAATAATAGAATATCGATGGCTGAAGTTGAAGAATGCGTATCTCTGATTACAACACAGCAAGTCACTGCTCATATTTTATTTCTCATAAAGAAACCAGACACTATTTTTCTTCAAATTCTCTCTTTCAAAAAATGTGCGAAAACTCTCAAGAAGTTATGTTGGTCAGCTCTCTTATCATATTGATACTAAAAAGTTTTGTCTTTCTGCAGAAAATAGAGTCTGTTGCACATTCCGCCAACCATGAGATATCTCAGTGAACAGCCCATCATTGGTTCTCAGATGAATTGCATTAATTTGGCATGGCTCCTATCAAATTGTGCTCAATGGGAAAATCAGGAATAAAACATGATATCTTGGGATAGTTCAGGATAAATTGGGATAAAGAAGATTAGTTTAGGGATAAATTGAAAAAAGTTTGGCATTTAATCGCTCTGGAGAAAAGGGATAAATATTGGAGGATGTACCAGGACCAGGAGGTAGCAGAATTCATGGGGAAAATTTGGTACACATCAATCATGATAAAAAGGTATAATTCAAGATTAAGGGAGGTAAACATGAGTTAGTAGAGGCAATCTAGGAAAACATTACTAAAGCGTCATGAATCGGAATTATGAATAGGGTAAAGGGGGCAAATCCAGAATAATCGCAGATAATGAGGGGCAAATTATTTTTATGAATGTCTTCTGTTATGACAAGTCCAACTATCCATGGAACAGATAGTATTAGGTACACTTTCTATCTTGCATTTTAAAATCTGAGGAAAATTCAGAAATGACTTTCACCGTTTTAAAACCAACAACAAAAAATTGAGAAAGGGGTCAGGCATCTTGTCTTTTAAGAAAATTAAATGCAATCGGAATTTCAACTTCCCCAGGAAATACCCATTTTTGACTTGCCCCATCGATATTAAAATCACCAAACATTGGGTCTTGTGGAGAAGACACCTATTTGCCAATGTTTGACTTTCCATTTCGATCAGTCAGCACTAAAGAATCAACCAGAAATTACTCTAACTTCAACCGTCACAAACCTAATCCATCTGGAAGGAAAATTAAAAAATGAGGGTCAAGAATTAGCATTCCCTACACAAGTGCTCAAATATTTATTGTTAAAATCCTGGACCTTACTTGAAGAAACCTCACACATTGGCCAAATAGTGATATGATAATTGTGAGCTGTCAGCAAGCTAAGAAGATTTTCCTTAATAGAAAATTGTTTTGAGGAAATAATTTTATGGTTAAACTTAAGCTTTGTTTTTTAGGTTTTATTATACTTTTGGCCCAAATCAAAGTCCCAAGTAAATCACATTGCTAGTGTTTCTTTCCTGGAAATACATTTTAAGATGCCGTCTCTTCTTTGTGGGATTGAATATACTCGCCGGCTGGTACATATTTTCCGTCAAGAGGAGGACCTGTATTCCAAAATGTTTGATCTATAAAATGTCCTCTTTCTTTAAATTGATGATTTTTGCCATGAAGATCTCCTAGCACTTAAATAAACTTGAGGCCATTTTAAGGTAATGTCGTGTAAGGAACATCTTAAAATTCCGACCAAAGTCTGCCGGTTGCTTTTCCAACAAATCAGTTTCTGGCTCATTGTTAAACTAATTTTATCTAATTTCCTCATATCCTTCAAAACGTGCATCATTATTTTTTATGCCTCAAACTGAACATTCCAAATTCAGTCTTATTTGTTAATTTGTTCTGATTTTGGAGAAAAAATCTTTGGATCAAATTTTGTAAGCTGTCTCTAACATTAAGAAAAGAATGCAATTTTATTCAGCTATTTTTTTATTCTTTTAAAAAAGGTCTTCTAGCACCTAATTCTCTTGTTTGTACCCATCATTATTTTCATAACTCACTACTATTTTAGCACCGAACCTTTCTTCAATGACCATCACGGAGAGTCTCGGATTTCTCTTTTTTCCAGTCTAGTGATGATACAGCCATTCCACTTTGATTTATTTTCTTTCTTCTCTCAAAATTATTTAGCTTCAGAACAGAGTCTGAAAGGATGGCAGTTCATATAGTATATATTTCTACAAACTCGGGACAAGTTATTAAGGATTTTTCCCAGTCTACTAAGTAATGCTTGAGTTTTGTGCATTTAAAATGCCCTTAGCCTTGCTTTCATACTTGATCCGAGATTTTATGCGGTGGTAATGAGAACTGTCAATGAAATAAAGATTCAATTACAGAACAATATTTCTAATTTTCTACAGAATGAAACCAAAAACAGAACATATCTTACTTCAAAAGTTAATGTTGCAGTAGAAATTAATGTGTTCAGGTACCTATTCAGGGACAAATGTTTGTTCACATTGGTTTTCTTATATCTGCCATACTCTTTTATGTTGTGTAAAATATATATTTTACTTTTTAAGTCTAAAAGCTTAACTCATTATTCTTTTCATTTGGAACTCCTTCAAGAAGGAAAAGTAATAAAATTCTTCAGAGCAACAAGGTCCAGTGGTCTCATGAATTTTGAGATAGATCAGGACGAGGATAATCAATTAATAAAATACCTGCATTTAATGCTATTCAAGCGCATTTTGAAGTATTGCATATCCTATGAGTTAATGAGTCTTTTCCAGATTTGTCTATTTTTAGATTGGCCATTTTAAGAGTTTTTCTCAGATTCTGGCCTGGCTTACACGCAGAGTTTTCTTCTCAGTAGTTCGAATTCACTTTTTTAGTTTTTCAAGTTGATTGTTTCCTTACAGTTGAGTCATTTTTTTGCTAACAAAGACCACTGTTTTGGTTTCAATTGTGAATTCAAATAATAATTCTGATGAGTGAAGTAATGAAGTTGCACTTATCTATATTAAACGAAGGCGCAATCGAAAAAATTACTGTTGAAAGAACACAAGATTCAATAATTTTTTATTAAAAATGATCAGGATTTTATATTTTTCTATAGTTAGAGTTCTTATCATTTTAAGACATAGACTGAGAACGACTTTGCAGACTATAAAGACATTCTTTAGAAAACTGATAAAAAGTAAGACTTGAAAAAATATGGCTTTTAATTAGGACTCCTGATTGAGGAATGCAAGGAGAGATTTGAGTGTAAACAATCCGATTTATTAACGCAGAACTATTGACAATTTGACTTTTAAGAACAATAGAACTCAGGTGTGCTAAATGCCACAAAATGAAAATGAGATACAAAATTGTCTGTGAGAAATGAGTTGTTGCAATTTTTATTTTTCTCTAATTATGCCACTTAAAATTTTTGGGCTCATAATATTTTACTCATAACAATTGTCTCGTCAGAATAGCGTTCAGTAGGTCCTAACTGAGCACTGTCTTGGAACTTCATTTCAAGTCAAAATGAGAGGAGTGAAAAAAAGGAAGGAGAAAAGAGATTGAGAATATGGGAGAAAAAATGACAATCCTGAGATCTGAGATCCAGTGAAAAAATAAAAATGAATTTCATTCCGCAGATGGTGATTCAAAAATCATCAGTGGAGCACACATCGATCACCTAAAGTGCGAAACAAAGAATTTCCACTGCAGTGTTTCTAAGTTTTTGCTCCTATTTTAATTTATCAAAGAGATATGAGCCAACTGTTGCTTGAGAGTAATACAGAATATTCTATTGACAAATAAGAAAAACCAAGGAAGTTTTCAAGAAATTACTTTTACTAATTTTCTATGAAAAAATCAAGTATAATAACAGGAAGTCTGCAACGTCAAAAACAGAAATACAGAGTTTCGCACTTTAGCCATCAATGTGGCAAAGTATAGCTTCAATTCGAAAGTAATTTAATGTGTCTTTCTCATCACAGAATTTTTACCTAATCTTTCATGGAGTTTGGTAGAGGAACACTACCAAAGTTCATTGACTTGCTAGGATTAACCATCACAAATTCGGACAGCAAATCCTGGTAAAATACCTTTGTTGTGTTACTTTTCAAGTTAAACTTGTTGGCTCTATCTTTAAATAGAGCCAACAAAAATTAATTGTAAAATTAAAATTTGAAAGAAAAATAAAACCAGACACTTCACTTTTGGATAGATAAAAAAGAATTCAGGGGGAAAAAGGCGAAAATTTTGGAAGCTTGAATTGTGAGGAAACTTCTGCAGTCCCTTCAAAACTATCTTGACCCACAGAGGATCATTGTCACGAAGATTAAAAAATTAGCATCAGAATAATTTCTTAACGGGAGGGGAAAAAAATGGAAACCTCTCTTTTCAGTCATTTTTTGGTGGGGTGTTGCAGTCTGGCCAAGTTTTGGAATCTCTGCTATTCTACAACTAAATAATTTACACATAATTAATGACTGGTAAACAAGAGTTGAATTTCACTCAACATTTGATTACAACGCTACCATCCATAGCAAGAACGCTGTGACTCCATTTTCGATTTTTTTTCCTGACTAACGATCAATTGTAGAAAAGCCAATGGGTGCAACCGTCATATTTTCTTAATAGCAGTGACACACTACTACTGTTACTAAGAGCTGAGCTCGACAGAATGAAGCATGGTGGTGATCAGAATTCTTTGCAATAGAGCAGTATGTGTGGGAAAAAAATGCAAAATGTTGAAAGGAATTGCAGAATTTTTGCTGTGGATGACAGAACTGATCTTTGTTAAAGAAAGGTACATACATGATTTTTCATTACTTCCATGAGGTTGGCCCACTAAAAAATAATAGGATAGGAGTATTGAAAATGGTTTTGGAAATAAAATGCAAGTCGAACATACAAATCTTGAAGAAAGAAAATCCTATTCTAGTTAAAGTTAGGTGAAGATGATTCTCAATTCGATTGTAGAATAAATGCATAAGATTTTTAATTGACTTGCTTCTTCCCTGAGCCTTGATGACAAGGATTATTGATACGAGATGTTATAAAACATGTTAACACCAACTTCATAATAGTCAACAGGAGAAAAAAAAAAAAAAAAAAAAAGAGAGAGAGAGAGAGAGAGAGAGAGAGACAAGACAATAATACAGGGGAGATGGAATAATCAGCCTATTTAGCATTTTCTACTTTGCACTGAAAGTATACGTAGAATACAAAAAACAAAAAATGCGTTTTGCCACATACCTATGCTATGTACAGCAACACAGAAGGGAGCTAAGAGAACTAAAGATATTTTTTAGACATACATTTTTACATTATTTACAGGACCTAAGACTTCACAGGTAAGAACATTTTGTTGAGTTTGATTTACTATAAAATCATACTAGAATAGGACTTGTCTTAAACTTAGCGCAACTTAAAATACTCATTTAAAAAGGTTATCAAAATGCGGATAGAAATGACTGTATTAGAAAACTCTAGCCGAACCAAAATCTTGGAATAGTCATATTCTCTGGACACATTCATACGAGAAGGAATGTTGGTAGGCTCAACTTCATTTGTTATTTTTTCTTCTCAGCTTTTCTCAGCAATGAGGGATTAAAGTAGATTGCAAATCAAATGATTTGCTCCCTGATGTTTAAATGGATTAAAATAAATAAGTCACAGCCAAACTTACAAGGTCACGTACGTAAATTTCTGGATCGATGATAGATAGTACTGCTTAAAACTTCTAGGCGAGGACAAAGAATTTGGTAGTAGACTCCCTCCATTTTTTTTTCTCATAAGGGTATGAAATTTATCATTACAAATATTTGGCGAGGTAAATAGGCCTTGGTGAGTCTGGTTTTCAGTAAAATTCTTGAAAATTATCTCTGAGCACCTTAAAAATCTGTAGGAAACAGGAGACTACTTGATAAGAGTGAGTTTACAATCTTAAATGAACCTCATTGTCAATCTAGTTTAAGTTTTATTTTAGATTATTTAAAATGATTGTGCCTAGATAATTTGAAAAGATGGAGCACAGACCACTTTAAAGCATACTTACTTTTAGAAAAATTCGAAACCTCAGCAGACCGTATGAATGAACCTTCATCTTACCTAGCACCTAGTCAGAAAAATATCTAGGAATTGGCTTACAAAGAATGATTCATGGTAACAATACTGTGAACGACATTGATGGTTGGTCTCCAGTAGGTAGTTTCCATCACCTACCTACCTAAGATGCTTATTATGTGACATGGTAAAGGTAACCTCAACCTTCTGTAGGTTACTAAGATTCAGGATTTTCATTGTTTGGCTCCTTTTCTGCATTTTTACTTTGACCCTCATCATTTAATTCGTTTTCTTTGTCAACTTCCATTACCTGCTTACCTTCATCGCTAACATGGGACTCATTATTTAGAGAGGAATCCTTGAGATCAGCTTGGTTCTCTGTCTTGTCTTCTTTTTCATTGGTTGTGTTCAACTTTGTATCTTCCTCTTCCTCCTCCTCATCATCCCTACTATTATCCTTGTTTTTCTGGAATTCTTCAAGGCTTCCTAATAATTCAGACTTCCTCTTTTCGATTCGTTTTAAGGTGGCTCTCCTACTGCGATCCAACAGTGCATGTGTTTGATTATTGAAGATTTTTGGGGAGTAAAAAATATGAGGTGATGTTTTCGTTTGGATAAAATTAGCTAGGGGTTTCTGTGATTTTTCCCACTCCTCGAATTCTTTGATAACGCTTAACTTTATCTCAAGGTTCCTAATTTCAGCTTTGCGCTCTTTTTTGCTCTGGAACAATTCTTCACGCTGTCGCTTAACCGATTCCTGCTCTTTAATAGCTGCTTCTTCCAGTTTTCGCTCAACTTGAGCCTTTTTGTCTTCTTTAGCTTTGAGTTTTGTTTCCTCTTGCTTAAATTTCTCCAGTGTTCCCAGCAAAGCACCAAACATTCTTCGATTTCTGTCCTTGCTGTTGATATCTTTTCGTTGAACTTCTAACACTTCCTTCCGTGATGGTACAACTGAAGCGACGACTCGAGATGAGATTGATGGTCTTTTGGATGGCGGGCCTTCCTCGTCACTATCTTCCATTTTCTTAGGGGGACCTGATAGTCTACTAAACACAGTTTTGGCATCTCCAAGCCTCCTCTTTGCAGGAACTCGTTGATCGTTTGTGCGTTTGTCTGTTGGTCTAGCACGGGCTCTATCATTTGCTAAAAAGACACGACGTTCTTTGGTCGAAGAAAAGTTGGCATTATGTTGCCATGGCTCAGGTGATGCAAAGTCATTTGTGTCAGGTACGTTAGCATACTTCATTCGACTACTTACGGTATTACCTCCCATGTCTCGCCCTGTCACCCGTTTAAGGTTTTCCTCGACACTTCGCAAGTCAGCTTTGGCACGCATTAGCTCCTCCTCAATGCTCCCAGCGATTAGGGAGGGGTTTAAAACGTACGCCATTTTCCTTCCAACTTCTTGACCCTGCAACAATAGGTAAGTCATTGATAGATTATAAGGTCTGATAATGTGCTTACAGAAAATTTTCTTTTGAGTAGCTAACAATTAACCTGTCAACATGAAATTTTCCATTGCTACGTTTTCAGGGATTACACGCTCTTAAAAAGTTTGACATAATGAATTAGCTGTGTTGTTCACTACAATTACAGTTTAGATGACACGTCAACAAAGTAATGCAATTATATTCCCGGATGATAAGGTTAACTTTTTAACGGAAGGTTATTAGGTACATACTCGGATTAAATGATGCAAGCTAACTCAAGAGATATTAACTGATTTGAACAGCGCCTATACTTTAAACAGATTTAGAGTTTTGGAGTACGTCTTCGGTATCGGCAAATCTTTGTAGGACTGCGGAGAAAATTGAGAGGGCTAGAAATGAACATGGAAGATTTAAGTGAGGTGAGAGGTCCAGGCAATGACTAGGAGGGAGATTAAAAATCAAGACACCAGAAAAATAATGAAAGGAGGGAAAAGTAGGAGGATAGGAGGTAGGAAGGTAGAGTTTTGAAAGATCATCGGTGAGGAGGGTTGATGGAGATGGTGACCACACTTTTAATAAGCTGCTACAGCAACAAGGAAATCATTTCCAGCGATATGTGAGTACGTATCATATTGAGTGTTCTTTTCAATCAATTTTTAACCCATTGCTGATAAAATTTTCTTACAATAAACGCAGTGTTACTAAGTTGATACACTGCTTGCCTGCCATTTAATATACTAGCCAATGCAGGCTGCATAGAGCCTACCTGCTTGCCTGCCATTTACTATACTAGCCAATGCAGGCTGCACAGAGCCTACCTGCTTGCCTGCCATTTACTATACTAGCTAATGCAGGCTGCGTAGAGTCTACCCACATTTGAGCTGCAAATCACACTTCCAAATACTATATTGGCATTAGCTGAAGCATGTTCTTGACATAACATACCCAAAAGTTTGACAGAGATAGTCAAATATTGCTTGTGAAAGTCATCAGAGTCACAAAATGAAGCGGTCACCAAACGCCACTTGAGCAAAGTCTTGCCAGAAGGAAGCAGACTACGACATTGCAAATTGACCCAGTGACTCTACACATCTCCTGGCAACTGAGCTTGAAACTTTGAGTCGTTGCCAAGATTCGAATCAATCATGTACTTATTGCAGCCATCGACCAGTATCATGCCAAAGTTACGGCATAAATTTTACATTCATTCAATGTTGTCACAGAAATCCTATTAAAATAAATTTTGACATTCTCTGACTACATGTTAGGGGCTGACAACTACATCGAGACCGATACAGTCGACAGTCTACGATCTACAATCCATAACGTCAGTCGGATTGAAAATGGGACTGCATGGACTGCAGGGCAAAAGTTCCTGTACAGCGGTTTCACTCATAACTTTCAAACGGGTTTAATTAATTAGTTATCACAGACATACCTCGCAAGATAAAGTCAGAACACCAGAACAGAATGATAAATTGTGAGATGATCAATGGAGGCGGAGGTTATGGATCACATCCGAAATGGTAGCAGAAGCACTGTGATGATTAGATTATATCCAGAACTTTGCCGGGCTAGGAAAGAACTTAGAAACTTTAATTTATTGACGGAGCACCCATGATCATTATCTGAGACGTGAGAGTCTTGATTGAAACGGATAAATATCGTAAAATTTCTTCGCAAGTCGCCATAAACAAAACTTTGGGGTTTGTTTACAAAAAATGTTTTTGAGACAGGTAGTAAAAAGTCGGAAGACCAATAATTAGAGAAAATTCCTAAAATCCTTCCTTAGTTCAGAATTTTCACAATTTCGTCTTTCGGTAGTCCCTCTAGCAAAATTCATAGACAAAACTTGTCGAAACTTTAATTTAAGTAATTTGAAAGTCCACGTTTCTGTATATTTCAAGGCTAAGTTCATATCTTTGTTCCTCTGTAGATGGTGAATTTTTGACACACAGTTGGTACAATACATGTAGGATTCCCTTGTTGATCCAATTTGCTAGCTATGCTGATAGCGCCGAGATAAATCCCAGTTTGTCGACTCAGACTCTAAATCTAAATCTACTTAGTTACAAGCTAGTTACATCATTTTTTGTGAATTGCACGCTTACTTCTTCATCCTGAACGTGTGTTCTTAGTCATATTAATCTCAGCTCAACTTCTAATATGCCGAGAGGTAACCAATTCTTACCCTTGTAGTACTTGTATAACCTCATCTTCCATTGAACTCCTCCAATTTTAGCTGTCACCCATTTTTCTATGTAGAATTCTGAGGACCTTTTGTTTTAAACGAGCTTCTTATGTCTGTCAGTAAATTTAAATCAGTTGCTCAAAGCAGTTCTTATCAGCTCAAAAATGTGAGATGTCTCTGTCTATTCGAGCTGGTTATGCCTATCTTGCTCCTATTACCAGCAGCCTGATAGTTGAAATTTTGTGTTTGTCCCCTTGACAAGTCAAGACTTTGACCAAGAATGGAGTTATATGAGTAATTTGCTCTATCAGTCGTTCCTTTTGTCAAGTTTCATGGAACAGAAGCTTAAGTCACCTCTCGCAGCGCCAAAACTGTGTCGTCAAATCCCGCCAGCATAGGCACAACAAAGAGGATGACTGCCTAAGTCGACCAATCTGGTGACTCCAATTTTCCCGAGTCTCATCTGCTGGCCAGTTATTGTAACATTGAAAGAGCATGATAAGATATCTAAATCTGATATACTGCGTGGTTAAGTTAGGGCTGTGTCTTTTCCTGTTGACTTATCCCTAAGACTAATCGTTTTGATACTGATCAGTCGAACTGTAGTTTCCCTCATCAGTATCTTGCTCATTATGTCTTCTTTATCTTTTATCTCAAATGGCGAAGTGCTTCTGTGCATCAAATCAAGTTTTGACTCCAGTACACATCTGAGATTTCCTGTATGTCTGGGACCCTCCCATCATTTAGGTACATTAGTAAGGAATTTATCTTGGTAATCTTTGCATTCACTGTGTGCTTTCTTTTCTGCTTTACAGCTGGTAAAAGGATCTTGCACAAAGGGCGCAATAGGCGATTCACCAATCCGGAAGAATTAGAAGAAGAAAGAAAGCGAGAGGAGAAGAAAAGACAGTGGAGGGTAATTTATAAAATCACTTTATTTAATTTTCATACTTAATATTTTTGCATCCTCATGTGGAAAGTTACATGAATCTTTCCCAGGCTTACTCCAAGGTTACTTAGAAAGTAAGTTTCTCCATTTTTCTTCTCAGTAGTCGTTGAAGCCAGAAACATTGTATAGGTCAACCCATTTTTCTAGACCCTGGTTACAGGAGAGCACCCTACTATCTCTAAAAAGAATTTTTATAGTCCAGACTGGTTTCAGTGAAGGGCAATGCCCCAAAATTGACTCTAACGGAATAGAAACGGCAAAGTCAACTCCTGAAATTTTTTAAGTAGAAAGCCTATAAACCATTTGCAGGGCCCTTTAATTCACTCATAAACATCAATGACATTTGTTTTAAAGAAATTGCTCGTAAGAAAATCTATGAAGAGACTGAACCAATCAATAAGTAAAGGAAGGCACGGGGATCCTCATCACCGTAACTTTTTATGTAGAATTCTCGCATCTCTTGATTGATATTTTTTAATTTTTCTTAATTTTATGCCCTAAAGAAGGAGCTTTTATTACAACACTGACCTCTGTCATTGTTGAAAAAGATGACATCCCAACACAGTGCTACCAAACAACCCTAAAACTGTGTATCTTGCTATCAACAATTAGTGATTTTAGATTTAGAGTTTTTGACGGTTCTTTTCTTATTGCTGCATTTTTTTTTCTTCTTCAAGGCAACACATGGTGGAGAGTCCACAGACGAAGAGGAAGAAGCTGCCGGCGGTGATGACAAGTCAGAAGAATCCGGATCTGAATCAGAGTCGGAAACTGATAGTGATGAAGAAGTTCAAGTAAGTAGTTCTATACAATTAGTTGCTACTCCACAGCACGAGCCAGGCTCAGGGTGGAGATAGAAATTTTTTTGTGATTATCCATGTTTTTTTTCCTGAGTAAATAATCTTGAAAAGAAAATCTTGATAAAGAGTGAAACTAGTCCAAATTCGAGAGTCAAATGAGTTTCAATCAGATGGAGGTGATGTCTATCGATGACAGCATTTCAGGATTTCCATGCACCTAAAGCTGGGGGAGGAAGAGAATGGACAAATGCCGCATTGAAAAATAGCACCATTCAACATAAAGAACCTTGCACCATCCTTATGGGAAATCCCCCCCCCCCCCCNCCCCCCCCCCCCCCAGTAAAACCTGATGAAACTTTGATATATTGCTCAGCTAGTCATTCTGATCAAAAGCTCCCACAGGCCCAAAGAGATCCAATGTGTGGTTTTCGAAATATTCGCCGTTTTATATGCGTGAACGGAGGTCCTGCCGGCTGGAACATTATGCAGCACTACTCGTATCCTTCCCTTCCAGTCCACTCCGCTTCTCCGCCACCCATACCCGAGGCTCGGACTCCGACGCTCACGAGGCTTTGCTCATTGGCACCGGCCTGGGTGGTCTTATAAAGACCACCTGGGCCGGTAATTTTCAACAAGAGTTCCCGCGCTTTTTATTAGCATTTCATAACTATCGCAGACTGTCCATTTGCTTTTTTTCACTCCAGGTCACCATTTTCTGCTTTTTCCCACTTTTGCTCCTTATCAAATATTATCTGCTCTTTGGGTTTATCTACAAGGACTTGGTCGGCCTCAGCAGCTAATAGTTATTAAGATACATTTTTTTTTCTTTGTTCTTTTTATTTCTTACTTTAATGCCCATACTCTTGATTTTAATGATCTGTGGTGACAAATTTGTAAAAACTGAGTATCCCCCTGCTGATTTTTTGTCTATTTTTAATCTAAAGAAACTTTTCTGTACCTTTATTTTCAGTCCAAAGCCAAAGGAGTTGAAAATCTAATAGAAATAGAAAATCCAAATAGGGTTCAGAAGAAAACTAAGAAGTTATCCAAATTGAATGAATCTTTGGCTGATAGTTCCTCGTCAAAACCGGAGCTGTCCAGAAGGGAAAGGTAAGAGTTTGCTTTGAGGCAAATCATGTTTCCAATCCTTTCCATAGAGGTATGCAGCAAAAAAGTCAGGAGTGCAGAAAATGCCTGATCATGCACCTGTACATGTATGTGTAAAAGAGGTGCAAAGGCCCTGAAAATGTGGGAGGAGAAATTTTTGAGGGTCACAAGTTGGAATTCTAAGGAAATAAACAAGAAAAAAGTCATCATATTCTATATTAGCGGGACATTTTGTGCAAAGTAGATGGAAAAATATGGAAAGCTGGAGGATGGGAGTGTGTAAATGTGGAAGCTTGAAAGACTCTGCTTCCCAAAAATACGCAGGTACAGACACAGTCAGCGTACACAAATACAAGGAGGTTACACAGGCTTATTCCCTTTAACGCACATACACTTAATGATTTTGAAAGGAAGAAGAAGGGTTACATTTTTCTGTTTTCAAATAATACCTCGCCATTGCTCACTGCAAAGCAAGCCTAAAATTCCGAGAGCAAACTTCGAAAAATGGGATATATTGATGGTAATCATTGCAAAGCGAATCTTGGTAAGAAGTGATGTATGACTTAGTCAAATTTAACTTTTGCTTTCAGGTTTGTTATCCCTCTTCTTCACATTTGAGCACCGTCAACCTCAATAGAGTCCTCGCCAAATAATTTACGCACTTACAGATTACGAGAGAAGATCCACCATCTTGATTCTTGTATTTACTTTCGAAGCTTAACTGACGTCAGGATCTTCTATCACAGTCTAAAAGTGTGTAAACTTACATGGCGTGGACTCAAACTTTGTCAAACCTCATTACATGAAAAGTCTCAATATTATGGGAAACATAATCTTTTCTCTGCCGAGAGCCTGCGACCCTAGTAACTCAAAGATTTGTATCTCCTATCTAGAATTTTCACCTCAGTTAATCCATATTACCAGTACTGTGCCTTTTTAAGGCTTTTTACTTTCTTGCTCCCCTAGGGTAGAGAGGAAGTATTGTCATCCTCCAAGAAAAAAAAGAAAAAAAAGTTGAAGTTTCATCATTTCTGGACGTTTTAAGGTCCCAGGAGTCAAAATAACCATACTTGAAAAAATGTGTGTCCATCCGTCCGTCCGATGTCCCCCAAATCTGTGTACAGCGATATCTCAGAATCTATCTGTTCGATTTCATTCAAAATTGGCACAGAACACCATATCTATGGTCTCCTTATGCACGTCAAACGATTTTGGGGTACGCTAAAATTTTTTTTATCTCACAAACACAAAGCATCTGGCAAATCACTTCTTTAACTTAAGGAAGTAACTGCTTGCTGAGTAAGTGGGGTAACAATACATATTTGATTTTCAACTGTACCAAATGGTTTAAAAATAATTTGTATTGCCTTTCTCTATCACTCACAGGAAAATTTTCACAATTTGTCATTGTTTTGAACATTATACGTATGTTTCATGTTAAACAAATTTAAAAATTTGTGATTTATTTTTACCTTTTTTTTTTCCTAGGGAAGAGTTGGAAAAGCAAAGAGCTGCTGCCCACTATCAGCGACTACATGCTGAAGGCAAAACAGAAGAGGCTCGTCAAGATCTTGCTCGTTTAGCTATCATCAAGCAACAGCGTGAAGAAGCGGCACGAAAACGGGAGGAGGAAAAAAAGCGTATGTCAATTTTCTTTCTCCACATTATTAAAATTTTTGGGTTTTCAATTGTCCTTCTCAAAAAGTGATTGAAATAAGGAACAGTTGAGCACTCCTTCATGATGGTGTAGCAAGCATGATACCATTAGGATCTATTATTTTGAAGAATGATCATGATACTGCCATAATGATACCTCTGATTATTCGAAATTTTTCACAATGATTGCATTGTAAAGACGTTACGTTTTTGTAGTATTTATAATTGCTCTGATGATGGCCAAAAGACTAAAAAGCTTCAGAATTCAGAAAGTTTTGATCAGTTTTCCGTACAACGCTTTGGTTTTTCCTCATTTAGCTGTCACATGTGTCGTTGTCAACTTTTAATCTTTGAACCTGAAATTTGTGTTTTTCTGTAGGACAATACCAGACTAAAGTGAAGTGGAGCGCTGAAATGTGTCTTTTTTCTTATTGAAGATTCAATAGTGAATCTCAAGACAGTCGAATTATCACCTCACTCCATTTAGAGTCCGTCTAATAGAGTCTGCCAGTCGGCCGCTTCCACTAGAATCAGCACTGCCCGCTGTTTTTACAGAATTGAAAAAAAATTTTAAAAAAAAATTGAATTAACAAGCTCTCGACTGTTTTCAAGAAAATGTCTCATCCTCTATTGCTTCCCCACAAAAGTGCAAGATTGTGATCACATGATCCAACATTTCCTGAACCCCCATCACAAATGATTTTAAAGGGCGGTCAGCATGACTTCAGTTTTTAGACCCCACCCTACACTTCCCCTATCTATGCAGGTTAGGAATGAGGGATTAAAACTAATATTATTTAATATTTTCCTCCAGCTGTTTAATGTAGCCTTTATCAAAGCCTTAACCTTCTCTAAATTTTTTTTGCAAATCGTACCCTTTTTTATAGATTCATTGTGGTTTGTGAAATTGCATGCTGACCCTGAACCATAAACTCATTAACCTTTTTGATTGATTTGTTTCAGTGAAAGAAGCAGCAAAACAGGCTAAAACTGCAGCAGTAAACAAAGCTATTGGGAAAAGAGCTTGATAAAACCCTCATGATGACCTATGCATTTTAATTAGTTAAGTCTCTTTTCATCTGATTCAAAAATTGAGGAAGAAGGAAAAAATCTCACATTTTTTCGATGTATCTGCCATGTCAACCACCAGATTTCTAGTTCATTTACCTACCTATAACTCATTACACCGATGTCTCTGCATGATTATTAAATCCCACGTGTACATTAATTAGCAGGACAGTATTCAACTCTAGCTTTTGTCAGAAGTTTTATATTCTTTTTATTAGTTTTTGTACATTTATTATCTTGTTTTCATGTATGAATACATTATTACTTGGGAGGTTCCTCTTATTTTTGAACTTCTCTTATAAGATTTTTTATTTTTGTCTGAATTTTGGTGAAAAGAGCGATCCTATATTACACACAGAAATCAATGTGTACTGCTCATGTAAGATGAGTATCATGAGTTGCTGAAATGATTTTCTTCTTCTTTTTTTTTCACTGAAATAAAATAATCCCAACAATCGTTCAGTTTGAACTTGAATCATGAGAAATGAATCATTCCTCAAATCATCTTTTTATAGGACACTTAAGACCAAAATCTGATGCAGCTTCCTTAATTCCCCCTTTATTAGGCTTCAATGAGTTTTTCAGAGCACTGCTTTTATTTAGCCACAAGCTAGAAAGTTGCGCCACTACCGTCCATAATTGGGTGTTCTTGTTAGATAATACTGACCTAGAGTGTCTACAGACCAATTTAATATTGTTTCATTGAAACCTCGATTTTTTAAAGTTCTGACATGTGCATTTCTTTCCTTCGACCTCAGCAAGTTCAAAGTATATTCAACTTTTATCCAAGTGTAACTATTGTGATCACTTGCACTAATTTTAAAAACAAGGAAAATTTCTACTCTAGTCAGTACTTCACACAAGCTCTGAATATTGTAATTATAATTCAGCGCAAACTATACAATTTCTTATTGAAGTATTGCAATCCTGCATGAATGCTAAAGAACTTGGAATTTTGGCATGGCATTTTTTTCATCTCACCTAGTTTCTGTAATGTTCTCAAAGTAAAATTTGAATCTTTTTGAAAGGGGACAAAAGTCTTCAATTGTCAGTAAATTATTCTAATCCCTGTATATGTCATCAGCATAACAAGAGGAAAGATGTTCTTCTTATAGGAGCTTGTAAAATCCTGATGAAACTAGCTTTTTATTAGCTTCGATTATCTTGAAACCCTAAATTTTTCTATTTCCAATATAGAATAATTTGTTTTGTAATCTAATCCTCTGTTCGGTTTTTTTCCTCTTTTTCCTGTAATGAGTTCTGCTATGGCTCACTTTCGTATGAGTGAAATTGATTGTTTGTTTCTTTATTAAATTTTTCTATCAATGAGAATCTTTTTTATTTTTCTTCTTGATCCTGTATTGATTCACATATGCAAGAACTGTTCTAAGTATTTTTTGTGTAGATCCTTGTCAGACGTTTTGCTAAAATCTCTCCCTAACTATTTAGGGTTGATTGTTATTGGGGGTCTTATCATTAAACTAAGTCGCAAAGGAATGCAATGACCCAAGTTCCTTTTTTATCCCAGTTCATTGGTGCAGTCCATGTGTCCCAGTGTAATTCTTAAGTTGCCATTCCAAGGTGGTTGTGGAGCAACACAAGCAATTCTGACCTGAAAGTTGAACCGCAGATAAACGGATCCATTGAGGTCCATGCGTCGTTCTATGGGTAATAATTAAGCCCCTCAGACTCAGAGTGTACAATAGTCTGTACTTGTAGTAGGCAAATAGTTCAATCAGGCATTTTATTTTATCAAATGCTTAGGCAGCTAGCCAAATTCGGAAAGATTACGAAATTTTATATCTCTTCACAAAGAGTTCTCAAATTTTCGATACATTGAAAGTAAGAAATCATCAAAATACGAACTATCATTGTATTGCCCTTGTCAATAAATGCTCTCATATACTTTTAACTGTCAGAATTGTAGAAACTGTGTATTTTAAAAATGCTACATCTTTTAAAATTAATGATCATTTCTGGGATAGGAATCATTACAGCAACCATACAACAATGCAAATTTCTCAAAATAATTTCCATCCATGAAGAAAAATAATTATTAAGTCCAAAATTATGCAAAGAGTCAGAATTTAAATCCAAAAAAGTGTTTGACAATTTGCCCAGGCATTAAACAAAAATGCCTGGTTTGATTATTTGTCTGCGACATGTCTACTTATATGAGGAAATTCTGTAACCAGCAGATTGCCTTTCGCCATGATGGCATAGAATGAGTCTTGTCCTCAGTCTCAATGAAAACCGAATTCTGCCCAACTCGACTAGTTCATCCAGACTCTGGCTACTTAGTTTAAATTTTTTTCAGACGAAAGTTCCTTGATGATCAGAATAAATTCTAATTTGTAGAAATTTCTAAGAACTGCAAAGTATTATTTCCGCAAGGACCTGCTACCATAGGACAAGGCACTTCTCAGCATTGCTCTTATTGTGCCTACTTTGTCTGCTCCGGAAAAAAATTGCCATCCAATTTTTTAACCCTTGTAAAATCTTCCATTATTTTAACAAATTTGGATTCAGCTTGCGATCAAAATTAACAATATGTAAAATTATAAATAACCATAACGGCAAATTATTACACTAGGAAACTTGTTAATTTCTTAAATGCTTTCTAAGTGTTGCTTTGGTTGTACATCATTTAAAATTTTCTGTCGGAGTAGAACACGCATGTACCAAAAATTAATTGATTTATTCACATCTTAAAATCAACTTTGCTTTTAACAATATGCACAGGAGGTATAACAAATTTTTTACACGGGCATTTGAGACCAGTTATGAAGTCGAAGGAACCCACATTGGAAGAACATCTTTGACATTTCAATTTTCCTTTCATCCAACCAGTCTGCAACAAATAATATTATTACCACTGTTAAAAAAGGGAATAACTCGGTTAATACAAATGAACAATTACTAACAAAACTTTTTCTTCCCTGAAACAATAAAAATTTGAAATAAAGGAAGAAATAGGAACTAAAGGGCTGGTATCAAAGTAACATTAAAGGACACTGTACACAATACCATGGAGAGTACCATGGAGATACCATTTCCTGAGAGTGAATAGGTAGAGTAATTTTTAGTTTGGTCGTCTTTCGGATACAAGAGACACCGCCTTTTGTTAGTCTAGTTGAGAGAGAAATCAAACACGCAATTTGGTCTGAAGCGGCGCGGCGCAGAGCGCAATGATGACGAGGACTTGAGATGAAAAGGAGAAGCCCACGGCGGTCGGTATGGAACACATATTAGCGCCTTCAAGACTGCATGAATACTTCACACATTGCGCCAAACACAGTACGGTCGGCGTGAACGTGAAAGGCATTTTAACGCCCACAAGACTGGGAGAGTACTTCGCACATTGCGCCTAGTACAGTGCGGTCGGCGCGGCGGCGGAAGCTAGACTCATTAGACCACATTTTATGTTCGTTCTTTCATTTGTTTATTTCTTATCAATGGAAGACCCTGTTCAATAGGTTTACGAAACTTAACTTTTGAGCAAAGTTCCGGGAACTTTTGCTAGGGTTGACAGAGCTTTAAAAAAAAATATGCCCAACACAAGTAAACGTGCCTTATGCAACCCCCCTCCCGCCCTTCGACACGTCCATTTGATGGTTTTTTGGGGGTGGCAAAATACAGGCGGCAAGTAGGTAAATCCGGCCTTGATGCTCCTCGTGCTCAGGAAGTCATAAAGATCATCTTATAAAAAAGTATCAGAATTTAGCTTGCGCTGAATTTCTTGGTATTGTGTATGGTGTCTTTTGTGGATCATGGAAAAGAGTGATTCGTTCACATCTTTTTCTTAAAATTAACTTCTTTTCTGCACTTAAGATTCAAAATAGCTATATGTTTAAAGTAGGTATTGAAGGAAAGTAGTGTTCGTTTTTGTATGGTTAAAGGCCATCTGCAATGGATTGAGTTTTTTCAGACGGATGCTGGCTTGATAATAATAATTCTAGCCCATTACACCCTTTAACATCAAGACCGCTCTCCATTGGAAGAAGTTAGTTTGGGGGCTGGCTTAATATTGATGGTACTAACTTTTAAGGAGTGTTGGTGAAAGGCACTAGCTCTCTGGGAATTTCCTTGTGTTGCGAATGTCTGTAGAGATTAATCGGTAAATGCTGCCTAGCAATGCTTGCACTAATATTTTGTTATATATTACAAATTATCCCCATCAATAAAGAGCCAGAGGTGTAGCCAGCTAAGTTGGCAATTGTTTACTTTCCGTTTGCGAGCTACCGTGAAAAAATCATCTGGTGGCGACCAGGGATTGATGGTGAGCAATCAATCCTTGCGATTACCGTGTCATGGACCAAGAGACCAAATTATTCTATTGGTCCATGACTGTGTGCAGTGTCATAAATTAGTCTAATACCCATAACAGTCAAAGGTAAACAACTGCGGACTTAGCTGATATCTCTATCATCTCTACAGTAATAGTGCTCTGAGGTATCTTCCTTGGAACTAGAATTATATCGTCACTATTCTCTATGTAATGCAGGCTAGTTGAGCCTATATTGGTGCACTGAAATGGGGAGAGAACACTCATACATGATCTTATCATCAAAATTCCTCTGGTTGATGGAATCACCATAGGTCTATTTCCGCTTTCAAATGAATAAAATTGAACTTACCGCATCAACGGTTTCAATCATCCATTCTGGTAAGTCTGTATCAGCTAAATGCCAGATGTCATCAATTGTATTGTCACATTTCGTTTGAGAATGATAGTGATGTAGAGCGTCCCCGACTGGTTCATTATGGACAGTTTTCAAGGAATCTGCTGAGTTCTCGAAGATAACATGCCTACATTGTTTGCACTGTAACTTCACATTCATTTGAAAATAACAAAGAAGGAACAAATGTTAAATAATAATGCACATAGAAAATAATATCACAAAAATCTAGTTAAATGAAAGATTGTGAAACAACAACCAAACCCCATGTCAAAAACACGTGTGTCAAACTCTAACCTACAAACTCAGTTTGTTTTTATAGCGATTTGTTGATATAGACGCTATTAGTGCCACGTCACAGTCGGTATCGATTGTATCGAACTGGATCCAAACAATCAAACATAACCTCATCTTGACACCCCCCTCCCAGAATTTCACTGTCAAAAGCCAAGAAACTGGAGTGGCATAGGAGTGGCCTAAATCATGGTGGCCCTCGTGGGTATTTTCACCTTTCTGAAACTGCTTTATCCCGTCAACTTAACAATGCGGGAACATTCCGCGATTAAAAGAGCTGTCTCTAACACAACTTTTTTCTCAAACTGGGCGAATTATCTCTGTAATTCTTTAGTTTCATATTGAATAGTAAGGTTATGTTTGATTGTTTGGATCCAGTTCGATACAATCGATACCGACTGTGACGTGGCACTAATAGAGTCTATCGTCACCTTCCAGGCAAAGTATCACAAGCGCCATGCGACGTTTAAAAATTTCCGCCGCCATTTTATTTTTTTACTGAGAAATTGTTGGTTGAATCTGTTCGAAAATTTCACTAAATTTTATCGGCAACACAAAGAAAATTCGGTGTAATTTTCGGACAGCTTCGTTGAACAATTTCTCTGTAAAAAAATATAATGGCGGCGGAAATTTTTAAACGTCGCATGGCGCTTGTGATACTTTGCCTGGAAGGTGACGATATGTTCATTCCTAGAGTGCGTTACTAATAAGTTTGAAACGCCTTCAAAATAGAAAGTATGTAGCATAACTTATGTAAAATGACAATTGTTGCATAGTATATTGAAGGCGAATTGGAAGCACAGGAAACACATTTGAAATACTGTATTTAAATTTTGAGTTCTCCGTAACGTCAAGAAAATTTCATTTCATCAATGATTTATTCTCTATCTGTGCTGCCCTTTGAGCTGTCTAATTATCATTTCAATTGTGAAAGTCTAGTAAGCAGCAAATATTCATTTTAAATCGTTTAAATGTGACATCCTTGCAATGTTTATTTTTTGCAATGAGATAACCTACAAATAAGGGGACTCTCTTCTTGTCTGTCTTGGTAGTCAATAGTCAATTAGTAGTTAGTTCTCAGCAAATTATTATTTATGTTATTTAATTTAGTGTGACATTTTTTGATGGATGTCAGTGTTTTTGAGTACCTTTACGGAAAGGATATTTCACACGATGGTATCAGTAGTTTTGACGGGTACTCCTGGAAACACTCCCTTTGGACTTTGTATAACAGCTTCTTCAGTTACCTAGAGGAAAGATTAGTTATTCTCATATCTGGTGTACTAAGTTATTTTGTAACAAGCTTCTTAGCATACTACTTAATTGTATTCTTCTTAAAATCAAATCGTGGATTCATTCATCACATTCGAAGCTGTCGTAGAGTTTTACTTATCACTGCTCACCCTGATGACGAATGTATGTTTTTTGGACCTGTCATTCTCCAGCTAATCAAGGAATCGTGCAATGTTTACCTGTTGTGTCTATCTCAAGGTGAGACAGCCATGTATCCATCAAACTTAAGTTGAGTTGGTTTGAAAGGCTAATGTTTAGACTGAGGAAACGGCCATGGATGTTACGTTTAATTTCAGTCAGAAAATTCGTCAGAAATTTAGGGCTTTTTTTATCCATGAAACATGATAAATCCAGATTACCTCGGTTGTGTGTGTGTTCTAAGCTATTTTTGCTAAAGGCTAGGATGGCACCCAACCCACCTTTAAACAGCGTTTTAAGCGTTCCACTGGGATGAATGAAACAGGCTGGACTGGGATATAGAGGCAATGCGCTTCATGCGCGTTTTGGATGAAAAAAGAGCCCTCTTGCTTGACCTCCACCTTGCGAGAGTGGATGCGTAACTATGCATCCGCGCCGCCTGAAGCTTGAAGAATCACAGCGAAATTGCCATCCACTGAAATCTTGGTCCAATTAAATTAGCCTACTTGATGTAAATTTACTTACAATTCCAGTAACAATGTCTTTTTTTATGATGAAGCAAACATGTAAATTTTTATGCCCTATGTCAGGTGTTTGAAATGAGAACAGAAAGATGATCAGATCAGTGATATCTAGTCCAAGATATTTCTGTAAGCAACATTTGGCCGTCATTATTTCTCCAGAATTTTCATTTGATTAGACTCGTCAGTGTCCTCTCAAGATCATTTTAAGATTAGTCTTCATGGTGGTACATCACAGGTTCCAGTTTTGGTTGAACTGTTGGATGACTTGTAACATCACTGGGGTTAGAAATCTCAGCAAATGTTTACTTCTAAGCCAAAAAGAGTGACAATAGTCGCTTAAAAGCTTAAAGAGTCATTTGCACTGAAAGAAATCAAAAAAAAATTTGGCCATAGCTGCAGTTGCAATCAGATGGCGCCAATGCTATTGGTAGTGAACCACTGTCAACTTTTCAGATGATAGCTTTATGAATAATTTTTATGACACCAAAGAATTTATGGATTGCTTTTAAAAATGAGACATGCAAGCTAACTCAGTTTTTCAGACACTGGAGCAAAGTGGAAATACTGTACGCAGTTCATTTATTAGAGGATTAAAATTATTTTAAAATATCTATCTTAAGCTGGCTTTTAGTTTAATTTAATTTAAACTACTAAGTACTTAACTGTAATGTTTCAGGCAATTATGATGGCAAAGGTGCACTGCGTAAAGATGAGCTGTGGAAAAGTTGTAACATCCTTGGTATTCCAGAAAGTAATATCTTCCTTTGCAGGTATGATGACACTTCTGAACTAAACTATTTTTCATAACTGGCCAGAGGCCAATGGAAAAAGATTTCACCATTGCATCCTTGGAACGTCGTAAATGGAGTCAGTTCCCAGTCTTTTTTCTGAATTTCTTGTTTCATGGCATCCCTGAGAAAATATATTCTAACAATAAAATTTGGAATAATGACATGGTTTTTTCCATGGATTAAGATATTGATATTGCCACTTCAAACAAAGCATTTTGGTTGGCAATGTACCAGATTTATGGTCACATATTGCCGTTTTGAAGAGTGACTACTCATGATAATTACACAAAGTTGGGGATGACTTTCCTTCATAGAGAAAATACAGAAGGTGGAGTTGAGCAGAGACACATATTTACATCTCATTGCAAGCGATTGTAAATCTGATGAAGATAGTTGCATTCATGTTGTGTACTGAAGGCTTTGGCGCCGGCTCAAAATCTGTCATTGTCTGATTTGATGCTCTTTACGATCTCCTGGGCAATGAATGTTGAATGTGTTGTTGAAGTTTGAAAACACTTTTACCTAAAAAATAAGTTTGAATCACCCATGACTAGCATGTTCACGTAGGAATGCCCAAAATTGTTACCCAATGCTCAGGGATTTGCAGTAATGGTCGAGACCATCTAGTTACCTTTAATAAATGGGAGAACTAAATTGTAGATATGAGGTAGGTTTACTTTGACAGAGCATCCATTCAGGAAGCCTCTGTAGAAGACTGGCGCATTCGTCTTTAAGCCTAAGTGATTAAATGTCTTTCTTATTTCAGGAACTCACAGTTATCTGATGATCCTAAGATGAGGTGGAAGAAGTCAGTCCTGTCTCCGATTATATTATCTCATATTGAGATTTTCCAATGTGATACTGTAAGCATTTAAATGTCTGTTTATTTCTCTTACTGTTGGATTTTCTCAGAGTCGTGAAACATTTTTTGGGTTTCTTTTCTCTCTTTAACGGCTAAATTTAAGAGCTTACTGTCATTTGAGTGCACCAATACCATCAAAATTTCTGTCATCTGTAACAGTGATCACTGAAATTGGTGATGTTTGTCGGGCAAACACCCGAAAATTTAACAGGTGACCCCAAGAGGTTTTTTACCTGACTGAAAATTCATAAAAGCAGGTATTTACCAGAATACTCATTGGGAACTTTCACAGTGCACTTAAAGTGACTATTTAAATGTTATATTGTAAATTATCAAAATTATTTTAGTTCTATAACTGCACATCTATGATGATGAAAGAGAGGAGTTTATACCTTGGAAATTCACACATAAGAGATGTTCTTGAAGATAACAATATTTCAACTGCATGCAAATTTTGCTCTTGCAACATCTTACGCATCATCTTTCCATTTGCACTGGAGTTAAGGTTCTTGGGCAAGTACATCAGATGTGGGTGGAGCCTCAGCTTGTAATCATGAACCATCATAGAGTACAAAGAGTCGTAATGTAAATGGGAGAGCTGGCGCCATGTTCTGCTGGACGAGTTCTGAGCCCGGTGTGCGCCGAGTTCGGGTCACTTTTTCGATTCATGTTCGATCCAAAATGGCGGTGATGAATACAAGGTGATTCCTATCTTCTTTGTTTACATCGGATGGCCGGGTACCTGTGTATCGCAAACAATTGATTATGTATCGAAAAAGTGACCCGGCGTCACACAGGAGTCTTGGAATTCGGGACCTGGAAAATGCTTAAAAGTGGTGCCAGCTCACCCGCTTACATTACGACTCTATGTACTCTATGTGAACCATGAACCTATAGGTCTAAATAGGAAATCCTGGGAACAGGGAATTTTCCAGGAACTATTGAATGAAGTTTACTAACCCTGGAAACTTTAATAACTCTAACTAACTTTAATATTGCACAAAATTTCGATTCAATAGACTTTATGAGGTACTTATGGACTTCGGAATTTATGTGGAAAGAGAAAATCATCTAAGTTTCTTAAAAGTAACGCTTATTAAATCTTTATCTAAAAAGTTTAGCAGAGTATTACAGGATATTTGCACTACTGCAATTTCTGTACGTGTGCTCAATTTTGAGTTTACAAAGTGTGTCATGTACAAAGTTCAGTGGTTGCACCATCATCTTTATAAAAGAAATTAGTAGGTAGTGCAGAGTACTCTCTCAATTACTGCTTGCATAATCGTGGGCAATCTCAATTCTCTGGGTACGTTGCAACTAAGATGGCGTCAATTTTTTATCACTTAATTAATTAATCTAAAAACATTACAGGCTGTAAATCTCTTGGTAGGGATAACTTTAAAAAAATGATGCCGACAGACCTTTCAAAGAAAACTTTCTAAACGTGGGAAGACTCAACATTAACTCTTTTTCCCTTGCAGGAAAGGTAATCAGAACTCCAAATGTATTAAAGTTTTTCTGCAGAATTTGGAAACGATTTCACTTCTAAAAGGAACAATACTTGCAATTTCCAGGAACAGAAAAGTAAAAAAGTAAAAATTGTGAAAACTCAAAAATTTCAAGCTTTCTGATAAAGGAGCTGTTCCAGCCAAAAGCAAAATTGCATAGTATTTTCACTGTCTCTGTAAACATTAAGATGAAAATGATGTTATTTTTCTCATTTGTAGGTCGTTACGTTCGACCAATCTGGTGTAAGTGGGCACATAAACCATCGAGCCATATTTTTCTCCATGTGTGATATCATTGACTCCAATAAACTTCCATCATGTAAGTTCCTTTTCATTAAAAGTACGTATTGTCACCATTCAAGGAGAAGGTGACCTTACTTTCTGGAAGAAATTTTTTTGCAAGAGTGATTTGTTTCCCATTTGGTAAAAACATTTTCTTAGTCTAGCCAGCAATAGCACACTCCTATGTTGTTTTAGTCCTTTTTCCATCATAACTTTTTATTTTCTGATGATGGCTGCATGATTCACAGACTAAAATGCCTGTAATTTGAAACAAAACAACAGCTGTGATAATTAGCTGGAAAAGGAAACCATATGAACTTGAAGATGGTATATCTTGAAAACAAACTTTTTTTATTTACAAACACCAGCATTTTGCTTGATCTCGTCAACTCTCAAAAATTTTCGGTGGGGCTTACCCTTTTGACCCTAAATCAATACCTGCAAAGTCATGAAATGGACGTTAAATCCTCTGTATGAATTTTGGATGGTTATCATTGGAAGATTTTCAAAACCTTTTTTCGGAATGCATTACAGTTAGCAAGATGGTACCTGGAATCAAATAAAACTAGAGAATGCTTTTTAACATAGTCATAAAAAACTTTCTGAAAGGAAAATGTTTTTCGGATTTCCGTCTCATTAATATTGATCTAAATGCAGAAAGTAAGACTAATCTTTTTAATGCACAAAATTCTCTCCTTAGGCTTTGTTCTATCACCTCTTATTATGAATTTATTTTCTGATTGAAATCTGACAAGCATTCAGACTACCAGTCAAATTTTGATTAGAAGTTGAGACTCTTAGTTCCAAAATATTCCCCCAGAGGTAAAAATGTCATCCAGACCATAATTTGTATCATACAAGCCCTTAAATTCCCCGAAGTACATATCCGTAAAAGCTTTGCTTTGACAAGAAGTTAAATGTAATCAGAGGCGGTAGAAGCGGCCTTGGGCCATTTTATTCCATGTAGTATCTCTTAGGTGACCCTGGAATCTCATTGTATCAACCCTGTTGTATTTTGTTGCAGATTGTAAAGTTTACTTTTTAGAAACTGTGAATCTATTACGAAAGTATTCATCATTTGCAGATACTTTGCTTAGTTTTATTCTGTCCTCCTGTTGGTACTCTGTCAATTTTCAAGAATCTCAACGGTTAAAGGTAATCACTACTTGTGTATTTATTACATGATTACATGATAGGAATATCAGTTCTGATCCCCATATGAGGACTTATATGTAACAATACCGGATGTCGAGTTTTTTCACATTGTGAGAAAATCGAGTTTGAAGTTTTCGAAGCTTTGCACTTCGCCGCCAGTAGAACTGAGAGGATTCTTATAAAGATTTTCACGAAGAGCAACTCTTTCAGGAAAAAACACGTATTTTACGAAGTAAAAAATCGAAGGAGTAACAGCAATTTGAAAAAAAATGTGACATCTGCTATTTTTACTGAGAACGTTCTTTTATGCATGAAACAAAGTCCTCAGGAAGGGTAAGGCTGGTGAAACAATGGAAATGAACCAAAAGTAGGTTAGTGATGAGTCATTTGATAAAATTGAACAAAAAATTAAACCGTTTATTACTTCTACCACAAAAATAAGGAACAAATTATCAAACTAGAAAATAATCAACAATTCTGGCGAGCCGGTCCCGATACATATAATTTTAACGTCAGCTACAGCTCGTGGCGGGTGTGCGGGCAGTTATCGCAAGTGCGTTCGAATCTCCATGGTGTCCTGCCGCGCCGGCCGAGGAGAACAGTGGACTCTCATATCTGCTGTTTTTACAAGTAACATGGTTTTCAGTTCATATCTCGCCGAAAAATTGCGCTGGAAGTCTGAAACTTTGCACAGGCATTCTTGACGGCTCCAGAATTCCAAAAAAGCGTTTTCCCTAAAAATAGCGGATGTCAGCGACCGCTATTGTTACATCTAAGTCCTCATATGGCCCTAAACCAACCTTGAAGAGAAGAAAAAAATTTTTCTCCATCAAAGGAAATTTTTAAAAGAAAATGGCATTTGTGATGAGCATGCATATTAAATCTCAAATGTAAGCACCTTTTCTTCCCAATCGCATTTTGACCAAGAACATCACAATTTGTCCAACTTTGGGCAGTGACTACAACATTATGCTATTAAAGTTAAAAGCAAAGTGAAGTGAACTTATTAAGGTCATGGCAAGGTTAATTGTGAATAGCAATGGTGAAAGTGAGCGAATTTTTCCTGGAAAAGTTTCACACTTTTTGGTATCTTTCTTTCAAGTTTCAAATCCTTTCATTTTCAATTCTCTTTCTTAATGTCTTGTTTTTTGCTGTTCCAGGAAGCAATGAAAGCTCATAAATCACAGTTTGTCTGGTTTAGGAAGCTGTACCTTCTATTTTCTAGGTATGTTTTTATTAACACTCTTCGCGCATCGGACAGTCTTGACTTATGTTTTGATTTTGAAGATTGATCTGAAGTCTGATGTTTGACAAGGATGGATTTGAATACCTTGAGATTGATTTATAGTTACCTAATGATAAAGAAATCTGAAAAGAACATTTTCGCATTTGACTCTGCACTAGCATGTGATTCAAACCTTGTGCTAAGGCTTTTTTTTGACGGGTCATGGTAGAGCGTCTAATGAGCTGTGTAAGCTCAATTGAGAATTAGCTTTTAAGCTAACGGGTCCTCAACTTATCTGTTGTGTTCTTCTTTAATTACCTTAATGTGCAATGAGCTTCATTTATATTCAACTTAAACTCTAAATTCATGAGACTGCCTCTTGATCAAGTTGTTCACTTACTTTAGACTTATATCTTTCTGTGGTTGTTTTTTTTTTCTCCTTTTTTTTCTTTCTCTCTTTTTTTCACAAGCCATGTAAGAATTAGTTAACATTAGCATTTCAAAATATGATTCTCATCTCAAAATAAGAATTTATGCCGATGGAAATTGGGTTTGAAGTTAAACCCCTCCATGCTCTTGAAGCTACAGTCCCCTTAAAAGTTTTCATTTTTTTTTTTTTTTTCATCTGGGAAAATATTTGAATCGTATGTATACTACTTACATAACTTTACTCCCAGAATTCCAGTCCATTCATGCAAAGCATAGAATCAAGATATTACATTTCATGTTGCATGAAAGTGATAAGAGAGATTATGGAATCTAGTCAGCAAAGTGCATATATGTGATAAAGTCGGCCAGAACAAAAATAGATTTTGATTGTTTCAGTGCCTCAGAATTGGCATTCTCTACTCTTGCTTTGCACGATTGATAACTAAAGTTAGTGCTCTAACAATTCTCCAACAATTTCTCAGGCATAGATGTTTACCGACTTTAACTCTTCAGATCAGTATCACTTTGTAACTAACCAATTGAAGACATGAATGCAGCACTTTTGAATAATTCATTCAATAACAGCTATACAAGTAGACCCATCCTTGTAAGACACTATTCAATATTTCTCAGAAGCATCCACATCATATCTATGAGTAATGTCTCATTACTTTTAGAATATTTCCTGTGTCACACTTCAAACCTGAAAGAGATGATTTCTGAAATATGTTTCTCCTCATCATTCTGTAGACTAATTACCTGGCAATTTTTGTTGTATGCCCAAGATAAAAGAATGAAGGATAAACAATTTGTCTGGTTTTTAGAGATATTTGTTCAACTTCTCTCTTAAATTTTTGATGGAATACCTAATCTGATGAAGATCCCTTAATTTTCTTTTTGGCTTCAGATACCAAAGCTATACAATACTTTTTATTCCATGCTTTTACTATCTGCAGTTGCAAAATTTGATAACCTTATTATTCTAAAATCTCGTATCTCTTATTAGATTTAATGAAATGAAGCTTCTTCATATTAAAGAGACACTATTTTTTCCATCAACATTAACATTCATAAACTATGCTATTGTTTTACGTAATTTAAGCACTCAACATATATCCAATACATATTCTACTCGTGAACTACATACTATTTTAATTACTTACAACTTAAAACTGTCTTGTTATATTTATCTCTCTCTTGGAAAATCAATTCAATTTTTTAATTCGATGATCTTCCTCTCTGGGAGGAATCATCCATAAATACTAATCATAAGTCATTTGTCGCAACAATTTTTTTTATTTGGAGGAAAAATTTTATTTTTGTGAGAGTCATGATTTTAATTGATCTGTCAGGGGTATTTTGGGCAAGGCTCCCATTGAAATTAATACTCAGCTCTCAGTAACGTGAATCCTGGCAATTGTGACTTCAAGTTGATACGAGAGTGACCATTTGAAAATTGCAAATTTTTTTCTGTCTTTACTCAGTAAGCAGCCGTGAAATGATACTTGTTGATCATCATATCTTTTTTCCTAATTTGACCAGCCACCTCTTTTTTTCGCTTTTTCGACCATTTTATGATGCAAAACTAAACACTCACGAACTCTTTGAGACTGATTTTGCTCTTTGTTTGTAGTTATTAGGTCCAATTTTTATAAACCAGTAAGATGTTTTTATCATCAAGTTCTTTACCTGTCTGATATTTGTTTGAAGTTTAACTGACAACTAAAACTCGATTTGAGTCTCAATCCTACATTTCAAGATTGAATGTAATAGAACAATTTTTAGTTTTATCAAAACTAGCAGAAAGAAACGGTAACAAATTTGAAATTATAATTTATCCCAGTAAAAAGACAGAACTTTTTCTCCTTCTCTCTTTTTTTAGTGTGCTTATAGGTTATTTTAATTCAATAGTATGCCAAAACTAGCCTTTTGTTTTCTTAATAAGTTGCACAACCCCTATACCATATAGAGTTAATATATTTGATGTGTTTTCCTCTTTTATTTTTTAGTCTAAAACCTTAAAATAAAAGGCAACCTAAAATTTAGGTTGAGAGTATGTTAGAAGGATTTTAATGTGTGTTACTTATAAGTTTTCATTTTTAGTCAAGGATTAGATTCTCGTTTCCTTTTCCTTCATTCACTCGATTTTCCTCTTTATGTTTGTCTTCATGCCCTTTCATTGAAACGCAGACATACAGACCTCGGCATGTGTTTTGTGTTCTGTCAGAAGGTGTCCCATTTTTTCTAATAGATCCATACAGTAATAAGTAAATTTTCATTTTGAGAGTAATCTCTCATACTTTCGTCATTGTTAATTTCTAAAAATGCTCTGACCCTAGTAATGGTGGATACCACATAGAATAGAAAGAGAAGTTTGAAAAACTCATGAATTAAGTGATCATGTCAGAGAATTGATAGAGATGAAGAAGTCATGTTCTCCTCAAGAGAAATATTCTGATAGAAGTCTTTGAGTGAAATTTTAATTTACCAGTTACCAACCAGATTTGACATGATTCTGAAACCTATTATTGCACTGAATGTTTTAAGCAAAATATTGATAGTATAAAATGGTAAAAATCAAAATCGAATTAAAAATGCACTTAATTTATTGAAGATCTAATGAAAACTATGCTAAGCAATCTGTTCGTAGAGCTGGTGAGGTCTTTAATTCTGTAAGATATTTCGTGTCTATGCTGCCAGTAACTGGTGTTTGACTGATGAACAAATACTGCCCCTGAAAGAAGCATAGTTCTTGAATTTCTGTTTATTAATAAAAAAAAAAAAAAACGTACTTTTTTAAAAACAAATTTACAGCTGAATGATAAATTTCTTAAAATACTTGAAAGTCACCCCAAGTTCTTAGAGATGACGTTATTCTGGGTTTAAGAAAGAGGAAATTTGCAATTGAGGTACTTGCTTCCAGGCTTTCTACATTTGAAAAATGGAACTGTTATATTTCTCTGCAACAGTATCTTAGGATTTTTACAATTGTAGTTTTCTCTCATCTTTTTCTTTCTTTTTCTATGTCTTTTCAATTTTTATCAGAGAAGGAAATGGCCTAAGATGTCAAAGCGCCTCTTAAAAATAAATACTCTATCACTACTACTTTATATCTTTCTTGAGAGAATTGCTGTATTATACTCTTCCAAATCTTTGTTGAAGATTCAATGAAATTATGAGGAATATTCATGTAAGTTCCTCCCTGCCATTTAGCATTTGTTTCCCTGGGAAGGAATAAACTTTTATTCTGAAACATAATTGAAAGTGGAGAAAAGTATCATTTCTACATTTCGACCTTCTATCATTACTAGGGTAGCGCACTAAAATTTTTCAAGACTTCTCTTTTCATATTCCCCAATTGTTTATCGACAATACATGTTTTTAATCCTTTTCAACAGCTGAAATTTTCAATGTACATAACAATTATGAACTTAAGATGAAGTATCCTGAGAAAGCTTAACTCTATTTTTATACTCTCAAAAATTTACTTTTTGATTCTCTTTATGACACCCAACACTTTCTTGCTCTATTTACGTCTGTTAATTGTTCAGAGATTTTAATGACCGAACTGATGTACCTACAATAAATGTTTTTTGTTCCTCAACTAACACTGTCCTTTCGTTTGTTTCGAAGTGGTTGCAAGTACCTGCTTACACTTTGTTAAAAATAAGTATACCGGCCACTATACTTGATCACTAGAATAACATGTTTTGAGACAGAAAAATGAAGAAAAAATGAAGTTAAAACTTCTGTCACGAATTTAAAAAATTCGTAGTTCACTCAAGAATTTAGTTCCGGATTACAATTTCTCTAGTTTGTGTAAAAAAAGATTGAATTTAGAATTGAATTTCATAGGGGACATAATGATGGTGTAAGTCCGCAATCACGTATCTCCTATGCGGTGTCTGAAATCTCCGCTTCTCTGTTATTTTTTTATAGGAGAACAAATTGACATCATTCCATGAAGTTTTTGCAGAATATTCTTTGCACAGAGAAGAAAAATCACGGTAGTTTTAATGAATCGCCGTTGAGTAGTTTTCCGTTTAAAAAATAAGGTATGACAGGAAGTCTGCAACGTCGCAAACTGAGATATGTGCTAGCGAACTTCCACCGTCGATGTGATTTTCGAGGAGATAACTATTTTTGTTGTTTGTTGCCTATGCAGCGAAATTGAAGGCGAACTTCAAAGTCGAATTTGGTTCCATCAAATAAGATAATGGCGCGAGATAATAATCTGGTTTCTCGAAGTGATACATAGCGACGGTGAAACTACCAGACCACGTATCTTGGTTTGCAACGTCGTAGACCTCCTGTCTAGTTTATAATTGCTTTCATTTTCTTTTTATTGAAAAATTTGAATAAGATTTTAGGGCCCTTCTCAAAACTTCTTCATATAATATCAACCGATAAAATCGAGAGTTTGGCTCTCAGAAAGATAATCGTCCTTACGAAAGCTCAGCGCCTCCTGTGTTCGATGTTCGAATCGAATGTACTTTCGCATATAAAACGCCTTCAAAATCAGATTAGGCCACCACACGCACAACACACCTGTAGCAATAATTGTCTCACAAAATATTGAAGGCGTGTTGGAAACAATGCCTCAGTATGAAAATTGAAAATAAAAGTTCTGTGTTTCACTCTTTCTTTTTACCAGAATCGTTTTCAGGGGTGGTTTTCTCATTACTTGGCTTGGCACATGCAATTGAAAAACAATTAGTCTAGAAAAATTATTCGGGAAGCGCTGAGATTTTCAAGACACGGATGAAAAACAAACGAGCTATTTGGCAGTGGCGGTGGGAGGGGGGGGGGGCGAATAACAGGAAGTAGCGAAGAATCTTATCGTGACAGCAGCAGAGGGAAACTGCATATAAGCCAGAATTTCTTTCATTATTACTTCCTTTCCTCCACTACTCCTAAACAAGCTCAACAGTACTAAAATCAATTTTTCCCGAGGATTTCCGGAGTTTCACCAAAAGCATTTTCAGATTGTTTGCCTGTTCGCTTTTTTTTCTTCTCTTAAAAATCCCGGTATACCCGCAACAAAAAGGTTTGCTCTTTGTTGCTTTTAACCGGAAATCCCCCAAATAAAAATATCACCCTAATTGAGGTGTACGTAACTTTGGCAAAGACACAGGAAACAAGAACTAGACGCGCTCCCGATCGACTTCCGGTATCCGCCCGATCCGGTCCCTGAGGAGCAGAGATCCTGCAAAGAACATGATCGAAAAGCAATTATTACCGCTGGTTCGCCGCCGGAGATGTATCACTACACTACTCTCCGCAGGTAGCTCGGATATCAGCGAAACCCGCGACGAGTTCCGAGTTTTGAAAGCGCTCCTTCCTTATTAGAAAAAGCTGAGGGGACTTATCACTCATCCGATAGATGAGATTCAGATTCATAAGCTCACTTATTACGTTGAATCACAGTTTTCTCAAGGTTAATCTAAGGAGTACCTACGGTTTATTTGCCGTAATAAAATGATGATCAGATGCGAGGAAGGGGAGGGGGATATTAACCGCATTCCAAAATGGCTGTAAGTGGAATGCCGTGGACCGCCGCGCCGCGCCGTGCTGTGGGTGCTAGTTTAAATCGGTCGAATCCTCTTGCGATCCTTCGCGTATCCTCCTTGTGCTGGTGCTTGTGTTGTGATACCAGGGGCGCCCCCCGCTAATCGCATTCCTTTATTTTCGTCTTCTCTTATCGCCCGTCCTTCAATCAAAATAATTACCTCTCCGCTGAATTATCGCCGTATTTACGCGTGCAAGTGTATCGCTATTCCCTCGATTCTTTCAAAAGTTTGCGTGCAAGTTCGGTGTGTTTTACCCTCAATGGCTTGTGGAATTCCAGCCCGTTTTCCTCATCATTCCGATGTGAAGTTTCTTCTGCAACCTCATCAGTAATTCTCAAATTTATCTGAGCTTTTCGTGCTAGTTTTGTCTCGATATTGCTGTGATGCCCAAGCTTTTTTTCTCGATCGGTCGTCGAATTTCGTGGCCAGAAGCAACAGGTTTTCTCTCGTAACTCCGCGGTGTGGTTAACCCATTTCCTCCGTGTAACGCATTCCTCTAGTGTTTCTACATTCCCAACGACCTCGTCAAGTGGCTGTGTGTCTATCTCTTGTGTTTTGAAATATCTAAGCTGCCTTTAAAGCTCAAAAGTAGTCTATTTCAATCCTCTTTTCGCGGAGAGTGACGGGATATCAACAGGTGATTCGAACGCAAGTGCATGAAAGTAACCTGAAAAAGTAACCTCAAATCCTGTGTTTATTCTTTGGATGGTCATTTAATTTTTAATTTTACCATAATCAATTCTTTATCATGCGATCTGCATTCAAAGATTACTCTTTATTTTTCTACGTGTCAGTTTCTCATATTTATTCATCTGCTCAGGATCATATCTTGAGATCAGTTGTGCGCTAAGCTGGAAGTTTTTGCTCCTCACCTTCAACAGCCCCACCATGATTTGCCCTCCTTGATTTCGTGGGATGAATTGAGATGAAAGTTTGGTAGTCCAATTAGTCATGTTGACTGATACGACATCATGTCTCAACGTGATTTTTCTGAGGTAAGCTATATATTTGTTTCTATTTACTCAATATTCACAGAAGCACAAACTCAGACAATGTTAAGAGAAACGTCAAATCCAGTTTTGGATATGTAATACTGAACAGAAGATTATTCTGTGTATATTTGTTAGTCCGCCGACACTGAACAGACGTGAGTTTGTGTTTCTTGCTAATGCGGTGCTTTCTTCCTGTACCTATTTAGATCCCAAGGAAGATACATACTTAAGAGTTACCTTCATAGCGCACTCTGGCTCTTTTCTAAGTAAGGTAACCATTCAAACTCAAAAGTGAATACCTTTTATTAAATATAGAATTGCGACAAGAAAAGAATGGTCAAGTATCACATTGGGAAATGGCACCGTTTAACATGAATCTTCATGGCAATCGATGAGTCAACTGACGATTGATGCATGGAAATGATACTTATATATTAGGGATGAATGTTGGCCTGTTACAACATACTTAGCGCTCAAGCCAGAAAGTAATTTAAACATAGTTGCACATCACTGACTGTTGGGCATCCGGTGGACTCTTTTGTTTCCATTCGGTCTCCAACACACTACTTTGATTGATCAAAATATCAGTCCAGAAATGATTTATGCTTGGAATTCTCATTACCTTGCATGGTCATTTTTCATGACCAACTCGGTTTTTGTGAATGATAGGTATCGGCAGGAACATGGCACTCTCTCAAGGCTTGATTTCTAATTTTCTGCTCAGGACTAACAAAAATTTGCCCCCCCCCCTTCTTGATTTTGAAAGCTATGACCTTTTGATCCCTGCGAGTTAAATTTCAAAAATCTCAATAAAGCATGCAGGCTCCTCCAAAATTAAAATTTAGATGGTCAGAGAGCGTATAGTAATATAGTGATATAGTGGAGTGTACAGTGATATTGAGGCACCAGGATATTATCCTGTGTATGTGGGAAAAATTGAATCTCTCAAGTTTGTCCTTAGTACCTGAAAGAAGTTCCATGAAGGAGTTGGACGGAATGAATTCAACAGTCTACAATCGTGGTTTTTGCAAAATGTTTGCATGATCAGCTTCGAAAAATACCAATTGAAGATTTTTAAGCACGAAAACTCAATATTTATCAACATCAAGTATCCACTCAAAAACAGGAAAATAAGCTTAAAGAAACAAACAAGAAAGCAAAGAGCTTAAATAATCAAGAGGACTTCAAAACGTAGCGAACTTCCTCTTTCAATTTGACGGATAGGCAATTTCTTATGGGCCTAAACCTAGGCCTTCAGGTGATACCCTGTCACGTATCATTCTACCCTGTCATTTAATAAATAAAATAATTGTTTAACTTGAAAAAAAAAAAATTTTATGGGCCACTGCGACAATGGCTAATCCCTGGTGAAGGTTTTCCCACCTTTAGAATAACGGGGGGGGGACAGATGATACTATTTTCGATTTTAGGGGGTGGGGGCGCCCCCCCCCCTTATGACCATGACCTACTCCCCGAAATATCCATTCGTACGTGCCCGATTTCTGCAATGCTCCCATTTCCCGTAACCAGTTACAAAGGAGGGGTATCGTTAAGGGCCTTTTTTGGCCCCACCCGAAAATTCCTCAACTCCGCGATTTTTTGGTCATTGAAGGTCTATATTTTACGGAATGCACAATGGTTTTGTCATTTCCGGTCTATTTCGGGGTCTACCACTGGCCTAAACATGGGTCTGAAGGCCAATTTTGGCGAAAAATGCGGGTTTTTCAGCATTCGACGCGCTGTTTCGTAACGATCCCTTCGGAGGACAAAAAAATCCTTCAAGTATGTTCATTAGG